GCCGACATGGATGAATCCGGGCAGTGGGAAGGTGGAAAAGCAGCGGGAGCCACAGGGGTGCAGAGGGAGTCGCAGGGCACGACTGGCACCCTTCCACCTGTCTCCCGCTCACCTGGACCAGCGGCTCCGGGCACCGTCGTCTGCACCTGCCACGGCTCCTCGCCCCGTTCCAGGTGGGAGATCACATCTGGCTTGTGGACCGGACGCCCCGCTGTGGGAGAAGCAGCAGGCAGGTGTGCTGTGGCTATCCTGGCCCAGCGGGCCTGCAGGACGGATGTGTGCCCCACTGGGTGGGAAGGAGCCCTCCGGGCCCAGGAGGGGTGCACGGTCTCTGCTGAAGAACTGAGATCTCAGGGCGCCTCTGGAGACTGCGCGGGAGGAAAGCCTCAGGGCCAGCTGGGCTCCAGGGCCCTCTGATTCTCCTCTCTCCTGCCAGGGGCCCTCCCTCTCCTCCTGCCTCTACCCTGGGACCAGCTGCAGTTCCCAGTCCGGATACGACAGGCCACTACGCAAGGCCATGTTCGGCGCCAGGGCGCTGCTGAAGGGGCCCTCGGGAACATCGACCACGAGGAAGAAGGCCGAGGGCAGGTGCCCAGCCTCGGCAGGGGCAGGGGCATCTTACCAAGTGCGAGAAGGTTCTGGTAGTTCTCCAGCATCACGTCCCGGTACAGGGCCCTCTGGGGGGAGTCCAGCTGACCCCATTCCTCCTGAGTGAAGTCCACGGCCACATCCTTGAAAGTCACTGACTCCTAAAATGGCACAGACGTCCTCACTCACCCTGGACAGGGGAGAGTCCGTGTCCGAGGGAGCCACGGACTGAGTAACTGAGGAGCAAAGGGTTAACCTCAGCTGATCTTGGTTCAAGCACGCTGAGGGTCGGGGGTCGCTGGGGGTGGGACTGGCCCACACCACCCCCAGCCATCAGGACCCGGCCAGCTTGGCTGAATGGACACCACCCTGCCCTGCCAACCTGGCATGCCTGTGCCCCAGCGGGGCCTGGGGTGTGCATGAGGCAGCTGTGACACGGCCTGGTGACAGGCTAAACTTTCCAGGGTCAAGAACGTCAAATGCGGGACCAGCAGATGGCACAGTGGTTACGTCACTGGACTCCCACATGGGCGACCACGGTTCAAGTCCTGGATCCCATAGCTTCAAAATGATGCTGGGCGCATGTGCGTGCATGACCAGGATCCCAAGAGGAGAATGGAGGAGAAAGGACTGCAGCATGGCCATCTACTGGGGGGTAGTTTCTCGTTTTCTGTCTCTCTGTCTCTCCAGAGAGTGCATGAGCCCTATAGCAAAAAACTCTCTACACAAATAAATAAATGTATTTGCCAATATGCTGTCCTTCGCAATTACTTAAAAAAAAAAAAAAAG